TTGTTTTTACCTTTTCTCCTAAAGTATGTGTCCTACAGTGATTATTCCATCTATATTCTTGATAATCAGAGTAATTTTCATGAAGCCCTTGGAATTACTGTTTTTTAACTGGAATGTGAAAAGTACCTGGATCCAAAGCTCTGTTTTCAGAAGGCAGAAGAAGTTGGTTGCATGCTAACTACTAATGCAAGGGAGATATCAACTCTTTACATTTAGCTGGGAGAATTTTTATCTCTTTTGTTCTTTGCTTAAGTGCCTGATCCAGTTGAGGCAAACTCTTTCGTGAATTTAGCTAGAAATATATGTATTTGTTGTGCAATTTGTATTTCTGTTTACAAAAGCCAGCCTGTCAAAGATCAAATCTCTCCTCCAAAGCATAGTGAGTGTAGGGGACTTTTATTACAAGAAAAATCTCCAGGAAAGAGTGAATTAGTTATTTATTTCTATTTAGCATGAGGGTAACAATTATATCCTCTGTTTTCTTTCTTCCCCTTTCTTCAAATACTGTAGTGGGAAATGAGTTTGTCTATATTTTTCCTAAAGAGGGAGTTCAAAAGGGAGCTCCTGACCTGAGTATCATTTAGTGGAATATAAGAAATATCCTTAGTAGCAGGTAACAATGTAGGAGCTGTCTGTAATTTGTGGTATTTATCCATAAGTATCTGTGTGTACAGTATCATATACACCTTTTGCTTAGTGCACTTTTTAATGAAGTTGCTTTCATTTCTTCAATGGAGGTGAAGAAAGCTCTCTAATCAAATGTTAGGCAGACAGGAAAGCGTTAGCAGCCATGCTCAGAATAATTTTTCTTCTGCAGTTCAGTAAGCTTCTTATTGAACTATTTAGCAGTAGAATGAAAAGCTGTGGAACCTACATTACAGGGCAGAAACTAACCAGTAATTACATGAGATTGTTAAGATTAGTAAATTAAAACTCTTGTGTTCTTTGCAGGCTGTAGCTGGGGAAGACAAAAGCACATTTGTGTCTTGGAAAATAAAATACCTCTAAGAATCTAGCATTTTGTATTTTTAAATGTATTTTTTGTATTCTATTTAAGGCTTTATTACTTTGCACCATTGTATTAAAGCAATCAAGGGAAAAAATGGTTTTTAGAATTGGCATAAACCAAATCTCCACATAACACTTGCGGGAAAAATGCATTATTTCCTGTGTTGTTCACTGCTGCTGTGTTGATCTTGACTTTTTAAAAATATATTTCTCGAATGGTTTTGTATAATTTTGTTACCGTGTGGGGGGTTTTAAAATTCTTTCTCTAAAATGATTTTCTTTTTTGGAATTGTACATCTTTATTTATGCCTTGCTGCAATTCTGGGTGTAGGAGGAATGTGACAGCATGAAAATCCTGCTTGGGTTTTTTAGGCTGTGTATCTGAATGGTACCACCTCAGAGAAAATACCAAAAATTAATCTACTGCCTTTGTCCCAGTTGTCCTCTGCTCCTGGGCACTTCCTTCAGGCATCGTGTCCAGGTTTGTCTGGAGAAAGAGGACATTGCTGAGCGGCTGCTCCCGGTTTCTGCCCAGCTCAAAGTGGTTTCTGGTTCTCCCTCAGATATGAAATGTTGCCTCCTTGCATAGTTCACTTATAAATGCAGATCTGACTAGCAAAAGTGAACTTTCCCTCTTGATTTTTTTAGCTCTACCTAAAATATGCTGCTCAGTGAGAGAGCCAAAAAAAAAAAACCCAGAACATTTATTACTATCAACAGAATTTCTTAAAACTTGGGGTTTTTTTACAGAACTTCAGCAGTTATGTTGACAAAACCTGTATTTGGAAGAGTAGGATGCTATTTTTATAGTGCAGTTTTTAGTTTACTCTTTCTTATTGAGCACAGTGAATGATGATATGTAAAAGAATGCAGCTTGTCTGCTCTTCCCAGAATAAATGGAAGAAAACCAGTAGGGCTTTATGTGCAATTAAATAGTTTTATTGTTCTTTTTGTAATTCCTTTAAAAAGCAACACAGCAAATAAACCAAACTAAACAAACAGCTATTTTAGATACAAGTTATCCTATATGTTTATTTGGTTGCTTGCAATTTTCTAAGGGAATAAATCCATATATGTTACTAGTTTTAAATATTTTCAGTAGTAAAGAAACTATTTATAAAATCAAAAGTTTGATTTTTGCTAGCTAAAAAAATTAATTGTTTGTTTCTCAGGATATTATTCATTCTTCTTTTCATTATTTACTGGTTTTTAAAAGTCTTCTGAGTGTCCTGCCTGGATTATAAACAAAATAACTTGGAGTCACTTCTGAGACTGAAGATGCTTGTATTTGATTGCTTGTATGCAAGCAATAAAGATTGTAACATGGATCACAGTGTTGGTAAAAGTTTATTACACTTAGTTTTGATAGTACAAATTATTATCTAAGGTCATTCTTCCCTCTGTTTGTTTAAGTAGTTTGCACTTCATTAATGATTCACTAGAAGCATTGAAAATGAGACTCAGTTAACTAATTGTAAATAATTTACTTTTTATAATGTATTTATAATGTATCGAGCATATTGTCAGTTCTAACAACACTTCAGTGGCTTTCTCTCTCCACTGGCAATCCACTTAGTAGGATTTTCCAGGGGAAAACACTTTGTGTTTTTCAGAGAAGCTGTTGATCCAGCAGGGGAGGTGAAGGTTGCTAAGTTCCCTCAGGGGAGTTCAGTGCTGGTTTTTCCTGCAGGCTGGTCTCAGAGCACAGGTGTAGTAGCCAGGGCACTACTCATGGATCAACAGCTGGGCAGGAAGATGCTGCTTTCACACCTCTGGGAGCTCCCTTGGTTGTCAGAGCTCACATGGAAGGCAGTGTCCTTCCCACAGGCAGGGAGTCAAGGGTGGAAAGCATTCCCTTGTGCAGCAGGCAGTGTGATCAACCTTGATGCTCCTAGCAGTAGCATTCTCTATGAAGCACTCTTCTATCTGGCTGAAAAACACATTTCTGTGCACTACCTCCTCTTAAAAAGCAAATCCAGCATTTTCTTGCTGTTTTAATGTCTCCTTTTTATTTTTGGGGGAAGGCTCTGAAAGTAGCCCAAGGTTTTAACCCAGGTGCCATTCAGACTAGGCAAGCTGTAGCAAGGAGAGATTATTAGATCAGTGACCCCAGGTATCAGAGATGATCCACATCTTCCTTTGTTTGCTGTGTGTTGCATATGCTAAACTACCTTTCACCAATCTGCTGGGAGCTCCTACCAGAGCTGCATGGGTTTGTATGGCTGTCCCAGGCTCTGCAATCCCCCACAAGGACGATACTTGGTTTGTGTGATGCTTGATTTGGACCTCTCTCTGCACTGCACTGCTGGGCCAGCAGAGGAGCAGCTCCTACATCCCTGTAGAGCATTGCTGCTCTGCACCCTGGGCTGCAGGCTCCTCATGAGGCTGCACACCCTTTCCCTTCTGAAATACTTGGAGTGGCAAGATTCAGCTGCCCAGCACGTGCCCTCATTCACCTAGGAGCTTATATCAGTGTTTGTCCATAAAGGGCTGCAGATAAGCTCCTAAAGGCATAAAAGCAGTGGTGGAAGGAGTTTATTCAGTCCATCAGTGGTGGCAGCAGGAGGGAGGTGCTGATTCCTTGCCCAGCTGCGCTGCTGCTGGGAGCAGAGATGAACTCTGTGGCAGACAGGGCTCTCAGGCCATACCCAGGGTCCGGGCTTGTCCCACGAATGTTGGCTGTCAGCTTCAGTTTTGTGAATGTCTTATAACTGTAGTTTGCCTTCTTTGTGAAACAAAGCAATTTACCTGCTGTAAAAAAAAGCAGTACATGCTGCTGCCTGCTTCTGAGGTCAGCATGATCACTGTCATTGATGACACAAACACTAAGAGCAGCACAGAGTCTGGATCAGTTCCTTCTCCTGCTGGGAATTCTGGAATTAGTGATGTGCATGAGCTACCTTAACTGTGATGATTAGATAGCATATTGCTGTGTGACTCATGTTGTTCATTGCTGTTACCATGGCTGTTACAGCTACTTTGTGAGATGTTTATATGAATATTTTTTATAGTATTCAAATGGTGGTGTTAACAAGTGTTGGGGATCTTTGTGAGCTGGGTTTAAAGACAGTGTTTTAAAAATACTGTCTTTGGAAATTGTTCTGATCCATGGGAAATCTTGCTTAATACTTCGCTGTTTCTGTTTTTCTTATCATGAAGCAGAAGGAAATGTGTTTAGCTGTAGGCACTGCCTCTAAAAGCCACCATCATTTTGTTATTCAATCACAAGAATCTAGTGTAAATCCTTGTTATCCTTTTTTGTTTTGTTGTTATTGTGTTGGGTTTGGGGGGGGAATTCTTTGCTGATTTTGAACTATTACAAACTGTGAAACAGCCATTGTCTTTCAATATATAACCCCAGAAGAAATGTAGCTCCTCTTTTATACAGCAGATACATTATTTTAAACCTAGCTGTGGCACCTACCTTACATCTGTGTAACATAACTACTTTACTGGAAGAAAAAAGATGTTTTTCTATCATTTTGTTGGGTTTTTACTAAAGATTAGTATAATCACATCTTCTTCCTGGATTAAGACTTTAAATATAGATGAACTTTCACATATTAATGCAGCATTTTCATGACAATGAAGATGGTTTAGCAGTCCCCAAGTTCCAGCTTTTATTTGCAGTACAAATAACATTGATCAGGTTTGGTTTTGCTATGGTGACAAATTTAAAAGTTCTCTTTAGCTCTCTTAAAAGTGATGTGATGTTTGAATCATTCATTAAACTTCCTTATTCTGTTCACTTTTAATTCTTTAAGTTTGGTGGGTTTTTTTTACAGAAATTATTTTAATTTTCAATTTAATCTGTGTTCCCAAGTCTGTTATATATGTTTTAATTTGCTTTTCATTTAAAACTGACAACCAGACAGAAAATGTATAGCATTCACAGTTTTGGTCCTTCCATGCATGTGGCTATGTTCAGAAGCGGTGCATAAGAAAGATGTGTTGATTTGCAGCCTGATCAGTGTTGGTGTTTGTCACTGCAGAGTGCTCACTTGGCCATGATCGACACGCTCATGATGGCCTACACTGTGGAGATGATCAGCGTGGAGAAAGTCATCGCATGCACCCAGCAGTACTCAACCTTCTTCCAGCCTGCAGAGGTACCCTATGACATTGAGGATGCTGTCATGTACTGGATAAACAAGGTATGAGTGCTGGAAAAGCAAGCTGGGGTTTTCTTTGATATCTGTGTGATTCAATTAGAGATGAGAGGCCAGGATGTGTATTTGTGTATGTAGGTATATCGGGACTGTTCTGATACAGACTGTGCCTACACGTGCTGTTTATGGAATAGAAAAAGGAAAGCATGCAGAATAAGTTAAACATGTATGGACCAAATAAATGGGAAGCCTAAATTAATGCTGGGATATATACTACATGTGACATCTCAGGTGTCATTGTCATGTTGAGATGCCACAGTGCCTGCTCAAGGGTCTCTTTTTGGCTCTTTATAAGTTGTCATCTCATTGTGTACTTTGTCATGATTTAAACCCAAAGCTATTCTGTTTGTTTGAACACATCTTGCTTGAAGTGATCTACCTTCACTGCATAATCAAATCAGGTGACAAGGATACCCTGTTAATCAAATGTGACTGAGCATAATAAGGGACAGGTTATTTTGTACAATGTAGAGTTAACAGGCAGTGACCTTAGACTGCATCCAAGACTGACATTTGCTTCAGGGCTATAGTCTGAAATGTTTGGTTTATCTCTTTAGTTGTGTCTTCGTGATTTATAGACCTTTTGAAGAACATCTAATTTCTGTGACTTGTTTCTTAGAACAGACAACTAAATGAACTATTTTGTCTCTAGGTAAATGAGCATTTGAAAGACATCATGGAACAGGAACAAAAACTAAAAGAGCATCACAGTGCAGAATCTGCAGGAGGTCAAAAGGTAGGTGGAGGAGTTAAAATGTTTTAAGCAAGAATGAGCATTTATCTGTAAACAGACATTGAACTTTTCACTGCTTGTTAAAGAAAGCAAACTTGTAGTATTCATTTTGTTATTAGTTTATCACTTTCATGAAAATACACATTTAAAAATAAAACTAACAGAGTTGCACTTTTTATAGCCAGTTGTCCTTTCTGACAAATAAATCTTGGATAGCAGGGAAACATCTGTTACATTAGTGCTAAGGAATTTAAGAACAATGACTACTTTTGAGTGAATTAAAATCCCTGATAGCTCTGATATGAAAAAGACCAGAACTTTTTTTCATGGTTTTTAATAGGTTTTTTCCTTGTGTATTGCGTGAATGTCAAAAGAGAGATGTGTATGTGGTATAATGGGAAGGATTGCTCTGGCCATGATCCAAAATACTGGTTGATCACAGGTTTTATTACCTATAAAATAAAAATATGTTATGTTTGCTTCCCTTTCCTAACAGGATTTTTTTTCTTTTATTTACATAGCTCAGTAATCAAGTAGCATTATATGCCCATCCAAATACATAGGGATAGCAGACAGTTCCAGAGTATGTAAAATTCCTTGCTTCAGAAAGATCCTTTACCCTATTGTGATAGAACTATTACTGGAGGATTGGTAATCAGTCTGAACACCTTTGGTATTATCCCTGCCCATGAATGCAGAGCAGATTTCCAAGCTGCTGCAAGGCTGTAATCCTCCTTCCCAGCCTGGCCTGCTCTCACCTAAGCTGCTGCCTCCTTTTCAGTGCCACTCTGAGGGGGTGGCAGGTTACCAGCCTGGATTCAATGCTCAGCTTCAAAAAACATGAGGTAGTGAAGATCTTTGCCTTTGTAGGGTTTTTTAATGTGAGGAATGCCAATGAAGGCTAACGTGACTCAGCAAAAGAAATGGTGGTTGTTACAATAATAGTGTGACCCTGGTGCATATACCCTGCCATGGAAAACCTTAACTGTGTTCAGTAGTGATAGTAGCATAGAAATCTGGAGAATAAGATGTCCTTGGCAAGTTCATTTCTCAAATTTAGATAAAATAAAGTAAACAGAGGCCAGAGAGATAACCTGTGTTCCTCTGTCCTCTAGTGGTTTTTCTTTTTCCCGAAAATAATAGTAGGATGTTTTATGTGGTTTATAGGTCACTTGGAAGGATGAGAGCAATTTTGAAAATCAAAACTGCATGAGAGTCTTAGTATGATAAACAAATATATATCAAAGTGAAAACTATTATCAGACCAATTCCATAAAATTATCTGTTTTTTAAAAATATAGTAATATTTATTTTCACTTATAGTTTGCAACTAATATTAGGAGTAAAAGGATAAAATTTTTAGTTTATAGTTTATCTTCACTGTCAACATTTTGAAATCAATTTTTGAAAGATTTATATATTCTGTAACTGATCCCATAAATAGACTTAGGGGAATAACACATTTACCTGAAAACTGGTATTGTGGTGTTTTGGATGAATTGTGAAGCTGTAACAGAATAGAAGAACCAGGTTTTGTTGGCCAAGGTACAAATGCATTGGCAAAATAACAAAATGAAACAGTTGCCCAGTCACAGATAAATGTATATTTAAAGCCCTCTCTTCTGTACACTGAATTTTGATACTATTCCTCCAGGTATATGTTATGTTTTTTGTCTCACTAGGGAATCAGCTGCATAAATTACTTTGTCAAGGAAGATATTCTGTGCTTGGGGGCTGTATTAGCATGAGGATTATTTAACTCCAGGTTTTCTTTGAGAACCTGTTCAACTGATGGTTAATCTACTGCTCTGGTATCTCAGCTTTTCTTTTAGTCATATGTCTCACAGTATTTTCCAGGTTTCCACTTACTCTTCCTAAAGGTAATGGTCACTGCATGCATGCCAACATCTGAGGTTTAGAAACCCGTGAAACACCCGAAATAAACCCTGAATTTCTTAACTGAGGATTGTACTGAATGCTGGCTTTACAAGGAAAACTAATGCAGATGCATTGGATGAGTCCATTGCATGCAATCAAATTTAAATTCTGAATGCCCCTTCTGCTGATTAGAGATGGCCAAGCAAACATGGGAAGAATACATAATTTTAGTCAACAGGGAAGGCTCTTCTTTATGTTTAATATCTGGCCAAGAAGCAAGAAAATTAGGTACCTATAAGCTGAAACAAAGTTAACATGTAATTTTAAAATAATTTCATAATTTCCTACAGTTACACATTTGTAAATTAATCAGTTGTGAAAAATAATTGAGTTGCCCTCAAGCCTGCCAAACTGTGTTACTGTGTTGTTACAGAACTGTGGTGAATCTTTTCAACAAAGAGTAAATTTCAACATTTACAAAAGGTTTAAACATCAAATACAGATTATTGGATACTCCAAGATATACCTGTTTTCTATGTCTGGATAGATAAAATCAGTATTAACAGATTATGAGGTTGCTTTTGTTTTCTTTCCCTGTCTTCTGCTACTAGCTGTCTGTAGAAGATAAGAGAGGAAGGAGTGTGTATGATTTTTAGTTCCAGGTAGTCCTCTGTGGACCTTGATCAGCTGGTGATTTGTGGTAACCTCATCTTTTTCTGGTAGAGTCTCTGCATCTCTTTTCAGAATTAGGATTTCAAGTTTTGTAGTAAATAGCTTTGATTTTCAGGCTTCCACTGAATAATATGTAGTGAATGTACAGTTGCACTGGTTAAATTGCTGGTTTTCAGTGTAGTTGGAGCTTTCCCAAAAACATGTTGTTCTTCTGTCTGCTTCTGTGGTTTAGACTGAATCTGTCTTAACAGATTTAAGTCAAATGCAAATCCTGTGAGAGAAACAAATGTAAATTCATTTAAGTACCTGAATTCTTCAAACTTTCTGTAAGATCAGTTTAAACAGTGCAACCTCTTGTGAAGGTAAAACACTAACACTGTAGTTCCACTTTCTGCTAGAATTAAATGTTTCATAAATCCACACTGCTACCAAAAGCTAACCTGTCAAGAAGAAAAGTTTGCAGCAGAATCAGCTTCTTGATCCAATCAGTGCACAGCTGCATGAGCACAAATGATGGTGCAAGGAAGAAAGCAGAAACAAGCAGTTCATGAAAAGCATGACTATTGTGTTTTGGCACCATAAGATGAGTTTATGTGGAAATAAATTTATCATAGCCGTGTTTCAAACTTTTTGTTAGGGGTGATAAATCATAGTGTAAAACCATAGGCTCTCAACCTGAGGGACAATTTTGTTCTTTCAGCTTTTTTTTTTTTTTTTTTTTTTTTTGGTTGGTTGTTTTGTGGGATTTTATTTTGGTTTTGTTGTTGGTGTTTTAAACATTGGGAAGAAGTCAGCCAGGATTCTCTACTTAGTTTGTTTCATAGTGACTGATTCTTGTGAAGTTCCAGGGCAAAAAAGTTTATTCTTGCTGATCTGAAGTGACAGTTCAACAAGCACTGAATTCCCAGGTTGTCAAAGAGACTTCAGCTTTTCTTTCATCTCTTTTCCTTTATGTGGCCTTAGAAAATGTATACTTATAAATCTTATGGTATGTTTGAATTTAAATTTTAAAAGTCTTTTACCCCTTTGAAGCATATTCATAGTCATCTCAATCATGGTTTCAATCAGGTGAATAAATAAAAATATATATTGGATTACTAGTTTGAGGTGGTACTGTTAGGGAGATCTAGTCTTTGGAATTGAAACAAATGTGTGCTTTTTTCCAAAGAGTACTTCTTCACCCTAGCATTACATAGACATGGGTAGAGTTTTTGAGTTCCAGGTCGGAAATACACTGCACTTTGATAAATGCAACAACAATGTTCCTGTCAGTGTTAAATAGAATAAAAGGCAGCCTAGGTCTGATCTCAGCCAGTTTAGCCAAAAGCTTGCTTTGTAATAGGTTTTAGGATTCCTGATTGTAGTTGAAAATTAAGATAATTTGTTTTGAAATTTCCATGGTTTTCCATACACTGACTATTTTTCAGTGAGATTAAGAGAAGCTGAATCCTGTGTAAAGGGTATAACAGAAATGTCCAGAGCCACACACTGACATGCATCTTGTAGTTGATTTCTTCTAAGTGCCTTTGGGATTCTTTCCTGCTGCAATCCAGTGAAATGGAGGAGAGGGATGTTGAGAATAGCTGTGTTACTGCTGCACACTCATTAGTGCACAAGAGCTTTTTTCCATAAAAGCTCTCTATCATTACTAGTTGTCTTCAAGGTTTTGTAGAAGCACAGTATTTTAACAATAAAATAATAAAATAATTAGGTTCCATAGCAGTTTGTTCCATGGTAGTTTTAAACCGCATTTTTACTATTTCCAGAAAATATTTATCTTCATTAAAAACAAAATAGATTGTTTCCTGCACTTTGGTAGTGGTTTTGATTTTTTTTATTTTTCTACAATGAAATTGATGGAGTGGTGACATTTTCTGTGTGTATTTATAGTACTGGTACATAATATTTTTATTCTTAATACTAGAAGTATTATGCCAGAGTAGAAAAAATCAGTGTGCTTCAGATTAGTATTTTTCTGGTTGTGTAGGAGTTTAGAGGTTTATGTATTAGTTCTGATAATTCCTCTGCCAGTAGTCAAAACTCCATCTACATTTCAGGTCATTGCACATCATGCAGCTGATGCTAATGTGATTTGTCATTGTAAAAATATAACTGCCTGTACCTCTTGTTGTCCTGAAAACTGTCATATGATTGTTTAAAAATATTGTTGAATGTTACTGTTTGGCTTGAAGAAACTAACACAAGCTTCACTGCAGTTGGGTGTACTGTACTACAGTGTGTTTATCCCCTTTTTCATTGCTTTAGCTTCCCTGCTTCCCCATGTGTGCTGCTGGAGTTCATTTTGATACTTGTGATATCATGACTTCAAGTCTCAAATGAATTCTTCAGTCGGATTGCATATGTAGAGTACAATTAGATGTGTGAAAGCATTTCATAAAACTGCATTGATCTGACAATCTTAGCTGTTCACATGGGAAAATTATAATGTTGATCTACAAAGAGTCCAGACATATTTCTCCAGTGTTATTGCTGCTAATTAGCTCAATATGCAGAGGTTACAGTGCACTTATGCTTGCCATTAAATTACAACTCACTGTTATACAAAACTGAGAATGTTAAAGAAAATTGCTTTATAAAAGTAATTTATGAAATCTGATAAAATGTTCCTTTTTTTTTTTTTCCTTTGCTTTTTGCTTTTATCCTTTTTTCCTACTGCTTCCTCTGAAGTCTCCTACCAAATGGTTTTGGAAACTGGTTCCTGTAAGTTTGCCCAACTGCTTCACTTTGATCGAATTGCTTATTTTGGGAATGGCTTTGTCCATGTCATGCTGGTCTAATCATTCATTTCATTTATCTGTGTGAGATAATTTTATAAGAGATTGCCTTGCAAGGAGTGCATACCTGCAGAAGCCTGTTTTGCAACGTAATCTGTGCAAAAGAAATGTGAGATATGATGCTGGATAAGGAATTACTTTTCAAGCAGTCAATGGGTTTGTACAAGGCAGTGCTACCTGTTATTAACTCATGTCCAATAAACATTTATAAATTACTTTTTCATAAACTTTCAGTAAACACATGCTATTTGATATCAGTTGTCTTCTCAAAAGAGACTTGCAGAAGTAGCTTTTGATTGTTGATGCTACATGCAAGCTGAAATCTTATTTATTCTAAGCATAAGCAATCATTACACCATTCAGCTAGAATTCCCCATTTTTTCAGCTGATTTAAGACTGCTGTTAATTTCTCCCCACACAAAATGACCCAAAGCAGCCTACTTTTAGTGAAACTATAATTTCACTAAAAGTAATAAAAAATACTTTTGCATATCTGCAGCAATATAAAGTTTGTTTTCTCTGTGCTGTGTCACCTTGAGGCTATCATTACTTTCCTCTATCATGTAGGAATTCACACTTGATGTGCATTCAGGTTGTTTATTTGGCTAGGTTTGGCTGGGAACAGTTCTTAAGGTATATGCAGAATTGCATACTTCTGATCTGAGTTCCAAAGAACTAATTCCCATCTATCATTGCTCTAAAGATTACCAAATAATTGATCTAGCTGTCCCTCAGGTGTTTGTTGCCATAACTAATGAAACACTGTTCTTACATTGCAAAAGAAATTGAAAATAACAAGGCAGTTGCATGTAGGCAACAAGAAAAATTACTCTGTGTCTGGAAAAGTAATTTAAAGGTCCTGTCTCCAGCAGGCTGAGCAGTGTTCAGACTCCTGACAGTCTCTGTAAAGGTATCTATTACAGTTGTGACACACACACAGATACTCTGCTCTTCACAGTACAGCCCATTAATTTTGTTTTTGAGTTAAGGGAGTATAATTGGAGGGAATAATGCAGAAAAAAATATCAGATGGACCATGATATCACAAATTTTTTTCTTATTTTGTCAAAGTAAGGCTACTTGAAAACAGTTTCAAAATGTCCGTGTTCTGTTTTTGTCTGTGGTGTTGGTTTTACTAGTGAGTATCTTCCTTTGCATAAAAATGATATTCAACTCTAAAATGCTCCATTTGTTGAGAAGCTAACTCCAGTTTGCCTGCCAGTTATCTGTAAACAACTTGAATTAGTGATATTTATGTTACTTTGTGTTGTTAGCTCAGTAGAGATGCAGTTAAACCCCAAGTGCTACTGATAAGACTCAGGCTGCTCTATCACTTGAGCCACTCTTCTGTCTCTCCCCTTTAGAGCAGAGCACATTTCACAGTAACAGATATTCCCGAGCATAGAGGCAGCTAAAAACTCTGATAAGTACATTTATAACATGTTATCTACTGTATAGTAAATATGTAAGAGCATTCATTCTTAATGATTAGCTCTGAATACACACAAGCACTTATGAGAGAGTAGCTGGTGTGCTGTTCTTTAACTGACCTTGTTTCTAGGCAAGTGTCTTGACCACACCTAGACTAGGTTAAGTGAAATAAGCTCAAAGATGCTAAATCAGAATGATTTAGGATCTCAGAAACAAGATGCCTGTATTAGCATTTATGTTTCAATTGACTCTAGAGCTTTATAATGTAGAAGTTCATCTTTTGTATTATTGCATATATATATATATATATATGTATGTATTTAGTAGCAAACACTGCAGCTGATGAGAAGAGTTTCTTCAAATGGAAGTTTATTTAAAATGCAGTGCAATTACAGAGTCTTTCATTTTTTCAGTATAATTTCTTTTATCTTTTCAATCAAAATGAAACATGATGCCTGCTATACAGTAATGAACCTAGCAGATCAGGTTATATGAGTGTATCTTTCCTGAAGTAATGTGCCTGGCATTCTCTACAGTGACTTAAATCCTCTATGTCCACTTCAAAGATATGACACAGTTTCTAGCATGGGTGGGCACTGTTCATGAGGCCAGTGAAGGCATCATCAAAGTGCAGTGTACTTTTTCACAGGATTTACTGTGCAGCACCACTAGATTGTCAGTTTCAAATATTTTTGAATACTCCATTAAAAGATACTATTCAAAAGAATTTATGAATTAAACAGAGCTTGTAGAATCATGATGTTCAGTCCATCTATACCTGTATCTGTTACTATTATTGATGCTTAATCATAATTGAATTGTGGTATTTCATAGACTTAATTTCAGTCATGTTGGGGAGGACATACATGGACATAGTAAGATGGAATTTGAAACTTAGAGCTTTTTCATCATAGTGGGTCACTGGATTGCCATACAGTGAGAGAGATTAAACTTTCACTGCAATTATAATTGACCTATTTCATTATATATACTAGGGAGTATTAAGAACATGAAGAAAAGAATATGAATAATGCATAACAGGAACATGATTTTTGTTTGGTGTTAATGTTTCCTCTAGCACACAGAAATGGGATTTTCATTTTTATAAAGCATATTTGGCACACAAATGCAACTACACTAAAAGCATGAAATAACAACTAAGTCTCAGGGGGTTTTTTAAATATTAATTGGTTGAGGTATAAGTTCTCTGGGCCAAGCACAAGCCCTTTATTTTTCTAGAACTGATGTGGCTGCTGTTGCCAGACCAGGCTTTTAGTTCTTAGGCCAGTTAGAGGACACTGACATTCACTAAAATAATGCCATGTGATCCTTGACAGAAATCCAGTGACAGTAAGTACAGCCCTCAGGGTTAGTCTGTGGTTCCACAGACCTTTTTGCATGCACAGTTGGCCTAAACAATTCCTGCCCCTCCATAAAACCTCCATCCCTGCTCATGCCCCCATTCAGTGCAGAAACACAGGAGGAGGGACTTGCTGTAGCTGGGGCAATGGTTTGGGTACAGTCCCATCAGTAATTGCTCCAGCACAGCCAAAAGGAGGAGAGTGGGAGGTAAGAACAGTCAGTTTTAGCCTTGCCATGAAGAGTGATTTCCACAAAGACTTCTGAGAGTCCCTGCAGGGAGACTTGCAGCTCAGTGGGTATAGATGCATTTAAATAGCATAAGATTAACTCAGAAACACTCTGCTGCTTGTAGGTGGTTCTGTGGTGTGAGTACAGCAGTAACCCTTCACTACTGTTTTAAAAAGGTCTTGGTAAATAATACTAACAAATTAAAGTCTATGCCACTTTCTTCCACCTCTGTTTGTTTTCCCAGGAAGAAGTGAAAAAAAATAGGAATGGTGTTAAGTCCATTTTTTCAGTAAGCCCTCCTCTCTTACCACAAAAAACACCCACAACCCATTGAAAATATATTCACTGCAGATAAATGCCATATCAACATTCTAACCCAAGGATCTCTTTATATGCTGACTGGATTTTTGAAATATTTCTATTTATTACTGGGTCACTGCATGGTCATAACTGTTGACCATTAATATTTCTCTATGTTGATGACTGCTTACACATGCTAGTAATAAAAATGGAGTTGATCAAATGCAGATTTTCTTGTTTCTGAATTTGTCATTAAGTCAGTTGTATGAATAGGATTTTGAGCAAGATACTTAGGTGTGTTAACTTCAGGGTCATGTGACTTGCCAGTAAACTGAAGTTGCAGTAGCTGAGGACTGGTCTCACTGTGTTTGCACACAGATCATTTTTATTGTATAATAATGACTGTTAAATTTTAATTAAGGTATAGAATGTTATTTAGTTTAGTGTGCTATAGAGAGATCATCAAAACTTGGTAGTTTTGAAGGCTAAGCTCAGTATTAGCATTGTTCCTTTCCTCTTGGATATTATTAAGATAATTATTAGATATTAGAATATTAGATACTATATTATCCTGTTCAAAATGTAGCATGGCATGAATAGTTGTAGGAAATAGAATACTGAGAATATTCAGCTATTTCTTGAATACTGCTTTTTCACTAACAGTGTAAAACCTACAGTATGACTCTGTTTCTTCATATGTGTCAGAGCCTTTGTTTCTCTGAGTGTGTCCATTTCACATTGCAGGCTCGTTACCGGAAGGAGCAGACGTTGCTGAAGCAGCTGCCCTGCATTCCCTTGGTGGAGAATCTGCTGAAGGATGGTACAGATGGCTGTGCTCTGGCAGCCCTCATCCACTTCTACTGCCCAGATATCATTAAACTGGAGGGTATGTCTGGCCTGTCTCTCAACTTGTATACATGGCCATAAAAGTTTAAATGTTTGTGTTGGGAGCTGTGTGAAGGAAGGTGCTTAGATGCAGTATACAGCAGGCATAATTTGAATATAGTAGATTTAATATAAACTTTGTGCCCATTTCTTTTTACATTTAAATAAAAGGAGCCCAGATGTCCTTCCCTGGTGCGCTTGCTTTTATATTGCCACACTAAAATAAACATACTTGAAACTACCTGCAAAACTCTTATTCTTGAAGCTGCATAAGTGCTTTTTGTGCATCTGAGCAGTTATAGATATAAAACTTAGAGAAGCTTAGAGCTGGGCTCTGCACAGCTTCACTGCATGGCAAATAGTTGCTCTGTATTCTGGGCTTTTTGTTCATTTGAGACCTATCTGAATCATTTATAGAGTAACCAAAAATGTATAGTGTAGAATGTATTGCTGTCATGCTGTTCTATAATAGCAATTGTCTGTGATGATGAGCAGCTTCATCTCATTCTTTTGCTCAGAAGCTTGGTAAAGTTATACCTTCCTCTTGGCAACTAAGAGCTGTAGAATGTCTTGGCAGCTAACACCCATCATTTTCTGCCTGTGTTCTTTCTATGATACCTTTGATGTCGTGGGAACACTTAGACAGAAACATCCTGAGAAATTCAGGAATATGAAGAAGGCTTTAGAGCTTGCTAAGGACTGAAATCTGGAATTCATATTCACAACCACTTTATAGGGAGCTTTCAGCACAGGAGGCATTGAAGATGAAAGGCACAATGATGCATTCATTCACCTTTCTTCTGCAGCTTGAGAATTTTGATAAATAGAACTTACAATTTACATAAATATTGCAGCCAAATGCATACTATCATATGAGATTAGGGAAGAGTTAGAACTTGGGTGGGATTGACTATGGTAACACCTGGTGCCTCTGTCCTGTTCCAGCATGGCTGAGATCCCAGACACTCTGAAAGGCCTTGTGTGCCTTGCCTGACCAGCACCTTCCTCCAGCATCTGCCTTTGAGCAGGGCAAGGCACATGTCAGCTTTGGAACTTCAGTTTTAATATTCTTTTAGGTGTCCTGACATCATCTTCCCTAAAGATACAAATGTGCATGTCATTGTCTCAGAAGTAAATTCAAAGGGACTCCAAAGCAACTGGAAACACTTTAATAAGATTTTGCTCATCTTCCCTGTACTTAGGTAATACAGTTTTTGATGCATGTTGAATTTTACTGAAATTTGGTTCTGTACTGAAACTGAAGAAGGCAGGTAATAAAAATACATATGCAAAAATGCCTAAAAATGCATTAACAAAAAAGAAAATGGTATTCTAGGGTTCTCTGTAGTCTGAAATAGATAAATTCTTCTCATTAAGTCTTCATTTCACTTTCAAATCTAGGTTTCCTTGAAGGAATACAGAACTAGAAAGGACTCCCACTGAGTCATGAAGTTGACTATTGTACAAAATTATATAATCCCTTTCTTGAATTTATCTTGTTTTATCTTAAAACTGCCAAACTGTTTAAAATCTGTACTCTTCTTACCCACTGTTCCTTTTTTTAACATGATTTTAAATTTCATTCTTGGTTTTTACCAAGCTATTCTTGGTTTTTACATAACCTGTCTTATGTGTCTTTGTTGTTCCTGCAGCAGTATCCTTTGGTTTGAATAGTTTCTAATCTGATGTTCACATTTTTGATTTGTTTTCTTCCTCTTGTTTTAGCCCAGGCTACTGAACCAAGCCTTTTCATCCTCCCTTGCTAAAGTGGATTTCCATTCTCACTGTTATCCTCAATAGTCTTCCTCTGCAGCTTGTCTAGTTTGGGTTTACTGTTCTTGACTGTAAAGGGTTGTAATCATACAGAAAAATCCAGACTGACATCCCATTCCTGCTTTGTTTAGTGCTCCTCTGTCACTGCTGGAAATGAATTTTCTGATAGGTTTTAGCATCAGGTTTGTTTTTTCCATAGCTGCATGATGCCAAAGGCACACACTGGCTAATATGTGATATGTAATATGTGCTAACTCCCTGCTCCATATCACCTTCAGTCAGTGAATCACATTAGAATTTTATTAGATTCAAATGTATGACTTCACATTAATCTCATTTCAGTCAGTTTAGTCAAACATTTTTTCCTATTGATCATCATCTGTGGATTTGGAATTATGGACAATGTCTGATTTTCTTCAGGGTGGGAGTCCTTATCCTGCTGGGATCCCCTTATCCTGCTGGGATCAAAGTAGATTTCTTTTATGAAGAAACCTTTTATCCTTAACAATTCAAAATTTATATGTAGAGTTCTGTCATACATTGCTGCTTTAGCAATAAAATCTGATGCATTCTCTGGAAGTATATTTAATTCTTTTCTTCAGTCCTTTTTTTTTAAGAGGACTGTCTTTTTTTCATGGGACTTATTATTCCAAGCAGCAATTATAAAAAGACAACAGAGAGTATCTGGGCTTAAATACTAGTCAGAGAATACTACACAAGTGTAACTACACAAGTGTGCTCACAACCACCGCTTCTTTGTCTTTAAATAGCACTTTCAGAGAGTGATAATTTATATAACAGCCTTCAGCTCCTTGGAAAATCTCATCTCAAACATCTCAATCCACAAACATGAATACCTAAGACCAGGCTGGCTTTTTGTGAAGATTCAGGCTTATTGATGCTAAAATGTGTTCTTGTTTAAAGACAAAGAACTAATATGTACAGAGAAATGTATGCAAAAACGTGCCTATTTCTTACTGCCTTTGTTTTATAGAAAACATAATTGTAAAAAAAAAATTATATTAATGATTAGATGTATTTTTTCATTACATGGAAATAGTTGGGTTGAGAGAATAACTTACATTTTCACAAAAGGCAAAACAGAAACAAATTAACTTCCCAACAGTGAAAAACAAAATTTAGATTTTTTTGTAAAAATTAATATTTAGAAATTCAAAGATAAAATGTAAATTAATAATTTCTTTCATTTCTGAATAAGAAAAATAAAAGTCTCTGGTGGGGAGGAATGGGGCAGAAATTATATCTGAAATTATTCAGTAAATGCTCCTGAATCAGTAAAAGCCAAAATGCAATTTTTTGGAATTTGGAGTTGTATCTAATCTTTGCTTATTTTCTTCCTTTTTAGATATTTGTTTGAAAGATACAATGTCTTTGGCTGACAGCCTGTATAATCTACAGCTGATCCAAGAATTTTGTCAGGAATACCTCAACCAGTGTTGCCATTTCAGTCTTGAGGATATGCTCTATGCAGCTTCTTCAATAAAGGTAAAAATAAAACACTTAAACAAAAATGCAAGCAACTATTTTGTTAGTCTTGATATGTTTAGTCTTTTACTAAACTAGACTTTTAGTCTGCTGCTGTATGGCTTCTCTTGTGACATAGCATGCAAGACACAAATTTCAGCAGAATGAAAAGCTTCCTTCTTTTGGCCATTATGTTTTCCTAGTAATTTCCAAGTATTTTTTAAAAAGCCTTTGGGAAAGGATTTGTAAGAATGTTGATTTTGTGCAAAACTATTTCCCACTTTATCTTTTTTCTGATTAATTAATAGTTGAAGTCTGTAATCTGCAGTATTTCTGTTGAAATGTAATAGTGATCTGCGTTAGTCTCAATGTATCAAGGCCTTAACAAAGGGTGGAAATATTAAGGACTTGTTTATGGAATTACTACTCACTGTTCTTACTCATTTCTGTATACACAATTTCACGTGTTTTAATCTTAAAGCTCTTTTAGTTTTGTCAAAGTGTAAATTTCTGAGTTAATTTCTGAGTTAAATTTTTTGAGCAACCAAGGGCTTGATGCCCCAAAAATAAGCAGCAACATAATTCCAACAAATATAGTTGTTTGGATAAGCAATTAAGTGTATTCCATCAATCTAAGATTTTGCTCATTTAGAAAGAGGAAAATAAAACATTATTCTGTAATTCTTTAAGCCTGTATAAAAAGGAGCAACTGAACAATTTCTTGCCTAGTTGTAATTTTAATTTTTCGTTATTATGTTTCACCAAGACTTTCTTCTATATAAAACACACTTCATTTGCTTAAGATTCTTGTTGGCTTGCCTTTAGGGAATGAAATATTATTTTTCTGAAGTCAGCATATCCATTGCAGATGGGATGTAATTGGTTTCTAAATATCTGGGTCATTTCACTGCTTTTATGATTTTCTAGCAATCTCACAAGCAGAGTCACAGAGGCCAGAGCTTGAATACAGCTTTGTTGTCTCCTGTAGGGTTGAACCCAACCCTTTCCAAATAAGTAATGAGCTGCCAGGGTGAGTAAGGGCAGCAGGACCTAAGTCTAGACTCCTTGGCTGTTGCTGGTTTATTTTGTGTATGCAGAGCTGTGCAGTGAGTGCTTTCAGGCAGCTTTTGGTGCTGTTGAATTTCACATGCAGTGCTCTACCTCTGCTGCATTGCAGTCTGCCTTGGCTGCACTCCTGTCCTACAGCCACACTCGGGGCCCCAGCAGGACTCCTGCACTGCACTTTGATGGTTTCTCTCTGCTTACAGATGTATGAAATATATGTATCTGTAAGCAGAGAGAATTAGTTATTCTTGTTTTGATTCATAACAATTAGTCATACCGTTTTTATAGTAATGGCTTGAATTATTTCTCAAACCAGTATGCACTAGGAAGCTTCAATTACAAAAAACCTAACTATAGTAAATATTTTGTCAATATCCCAATGCATCAGACTTTACACTTAGTGATTTTGCTATTTCTGAACACTGATTTTAGAGAGGATTTAGCGTTCTTTCAAAGAGTTAGAGTATTTCTAGATCTGAGAGAGCTCTTTTGTGATCATGTTTTTACAAGTTGTTGTGGCATGGATGCTTATTTAGATGTAAATGCTACAAAGCAAGGCTGCCAAGTTTTTCTTCTAAAACTTGGCATGGAAACTTCAGTTAGTGCTGTAAACTGTTTTTCCAGTGTTAAGAGTTAATTTGCTTGGAAAATAAATTCATTGTTAAAAGAGTTCCTCCTTAGTTTTCCAGTGCATCTGAGTAGAGTAAGTTTTAATAAATGTGTTTATTCTCCAATGAATTTTATTGTCACTTAAAAAAACTTGTATTGTGAATGGATATTTTAAATATTGCACATTGAGTTACACTGGTTTGTGGAAGCTACTCATCTCAGCCTACAAAATGGACATAGTATGAAGTCTTACTATTGTAGAGGTTTGTGTTTGTTAATCAGCAGAAATTCCTGTCTGTTTTCAGAGGAGCTCATACTGCACAGTAGGTGCCACTGTGCTTTGGGCTTACAAACATCTTACCTACATAGTAGTGACAGAAAAAGTAAAAAATACCAACTGCTGATATCTTACTGGAAAAAGCCTCAAGAAAAAAATCTGTGCAGAGTTTTTGGAATTGCAGTGCTGTGCCTTGTGTGGTCCTAGAAATTCCAGTAGGTATCCTGGCTTGCTGCTGGTTCTTGAGAAGGAAGAGAGCAGAACCTCTCCTTAAGTGATCCAGCACAAACCACATACCTTACATTCTTCCCAGGGCACCCTGCACTGTCCTGGTACATTAAATCAAGGGAAGTTAGAGATAGGATATGATGCAGAAATTTAGTGCAGCACTTGACCAAGGTGATTTCAGTTTTTCCATCAAAATGCACAGAAACACTGACTTCACTTAAGCATCCTAAGTCTTTGATAGAGGCTCTGAGATTTCCCAGCAGATGAAACTGTTGGCTTAGCTCTGGTTTAGCACAGAGCAGAAATAAGCTTTGTCTGGATTTCTAGACAGCTTTAATGTGTCATAATCAAAGGAAGCAGAAAGTTTTGTTGCTCTTTATTGCCCATTTCTTCTCCTCTAAGAAAAATACATTTGTAAAGTTCTTCATAAGATGTTTACTAAGGCAGGGCTACTGATATTAAAGAAAAAATATTTCAATACATTCCATGGATGCTTGAGGCACCAACAGGGGACCATACTGGTTCCTGGTTGTTATCCTTTGAGACAGACAAACACAAGTCGAGAGCGATTACATAAAAATAATCACAATGTTTTCTGAATCCTCCCTGCATATTTAACAAGCAGAAATAATAGAAATCTTGAGTCTGTCTTCTCTGACTGCTCTGTGCTGAGATTTGGAGAGTTCTCTCACCCAAGCTCATGCAGAAGGCATATCTGTTGGAATGAAAGCTTTCAGAATGTGAAATGACGCAAATGTGAGAGATGATTGCTGTGTCTTGGCTGAAAGGGCGTTCCTCTGACCTAGATGTGGGCCAGACTCCAAACTCTGCAGAATCACAACTAGGCATATAGAATAGGTACCTTATTTTTGCACCTGATTACTAACCTGAGTGGCAGAAAAAACATTTGCACTGTCAGATCTTTTTTGATTCAGATCCAGAACTTCTTTTTTTTCCCGCTGCTGAACTGGGGTATATGATATCTGAAGTGTTGATGATCTTGAAGGTCTCTTCCAACCTAGTCATTCTGTGATTTATATTAAAAAATATTTATTGCACTTGAGCAGTTTTGAATACTTGTACTTTCTGATGTAATATTGATGGTGTTTATTTGTAAATAACATAAGCAGAATAGTGTTCAAGTATGTTGCATAGATAAATCCTAGAAATTCAGGGCTGCACAATGTCCACACATGTTGCACAGCTTTCCCTCCCACTGCCAGCCAGGCTGCTCACCTAAGTCTGAACTGGCAACTGGAACCCCTTAAGGACCTGGGAGAGCAGCTGGCTCTGCTTGGTGAGGCACTTATTATGTATGGTGGGAGTGAGTTCAGCCATTTCATTCCCATCTGGCTGGGTTAAAACTGTTGAGGATCGGGAATTAAAAGTAAGATTCAACGAGGGAACAGTTTTTTGAGGCAGTTTTTCCCTGAGAGGGGACCAAATGTTCCTGACTCATTATTTAAAGGGAAGCAGTGTGGTTTGCTTTCACTGATGTTAATCGGCCGCTCTTCCCTCTCAGTTCTGATCTGGAACAAGGCAGAGTGGGTTTGAAAACTGACTTGTTGTGGCATTTATTAGCCTGTGGCAAGACAGAGGACAAACTGGTAGTGCTTAGATCATACACAGCTATAGTCTGACCTTCTCGAGACAGTTTGTGACACTCCAGTTTCTGCAGTCTTGAAGCATTTACCTTGGCACTTGTATGACAAAAAAGCTGTGGATTTGCACTGGACAGGACCTTTCCTGACCCACTGAACAGAGATTTGAATGTGCATCATGGTAAAAATTTCACAGTGTATTTTATGTTAATTTTGAAAAAAATTCTGAAAGCTTCTGCAGCTGCTCTCACACCCAATTTTAGTGGATGCAAGCCTGGTGACAAATTACGTGTATCATTGGTATGTATGACATTGTGGTTATTCTCAAAATATGCAGATCTAAAACCTAGAGGTGTTAGGAGGGTATAATTTATTTGAAGTATTCCAAATTAAATGAGATTAAATGAAATGAAATTAAATGAGAATGTTTAGCTAACAATGATCTCTGAAGCTGCAAGTCTGCCATCTGCTGTTCAGGGGGCTTGAGCCTGCCTGGACTGCTCAGAGCTTCCTTAGTTTTTAATAACTGTTAAAATATTGTTGTGTGTAAGTGCATCTGATAATCATATGGCAAGCTGTTAGAATTTCTGTCACCATAATCAAGGCAGAAATCTATGGAAATCATATGTACATTCTTTCGAGTTCTGAATAGCAGCATTACTACAGACCCACTGCTAGTTTTTCCAAAAAAAATTGTTACTGATCATCAGTCTTTCCCTTCAATCGTTCTGACTAAAAATAACCTATGAGAAAACGTGATTTCCATCCTGATGGCTCACCATCAGACATCTGAATAGCCTCTGTTCTCAGTGGGCTGAGCAGCACTTTCATTTTTATTTCAGTAAATACTGCTTTGGTGGCTTTAGAAAAACAAACTGTCTTGCAGCAGCTCAGCACTGCATAGAAGATATTCTCAGAAGGAATATTTGTCCTTCATAAAATAGTCACACTGTTGTGTGTCTATTTTTTGTTGAAATGCAGCATTTCAATATAAACATGAAAAACTGGAGTATCTAAATATTATTTTGGATGGGAACAAAGCTATAATTAAAACATTTTATGATTTAATTTTTTGCTAAAAGATCAAGTCAAAAATATGAAAGTTTAAGGAGAGGCAAGGGAAAGGGGAAGATATTCAGAGAGAATTTATAATACTTTGAAATTGTAGTATTAAAAATCATACTTGTCTAAGAAGTACATCTGGTTTTTTCTTGGTCTAAGCTCCCTAATGAATTCAGTGTGTGGTACTGAAATGCTATGCTTGACATTAACTTGAATGGAAAAGATTCTGCTATGCACTTTTCCTCATTCAGTTCTGTCAAGCTGAATAAACAGCGATGGGGTTTTTCCTATTCTATTTATAACTTGTGTGTAATAGCTATGCTACATCTGCCTGATCCCTTCACCATATAGTGCAGTGTAGGAGTTGCTTTTGGTCTGAGTATCCCTTTGCTGAAGTATAGGCTTATCTATGTTAGAAATCTTCAGGAAAAAGAAATATGAAGCAAAAGTGTGAAACAGATACTCAAAATTATATTTTCATATATAGTGATGCAGAATTTAAATTTTCTCATTTATTATCAAAGGTTTTTTAGTAAATATTTTGTTTATTTTAAAATTACTTTCTTACCCTTAATGCCTGTGGTTTGTTTTTGAATTAGAATGACATTTTTGTTTCAAATTTTTGAAAGCAACTCTTTGAAACAAAAAGTTGTTTAATTATAGTTTCCCAGTTGAATGTATAAGCATTGTTTACATCTTCAGACTTTGTAAGACTGTGGCAAAGGTCTGTGCAATTATTTGAGCCAGCTCAAACCTGGAGAATTGCTGATCTCCTTCAGCTGATATTTCTAGATATGAAGTGGCACTGAAGATGCAGAACCTTTGGCCTCTGAACTCTTTAGCCTCCACAGTCACCAGCCTTCTGGGCTTTTTGCACTCCTCATATGTTCTTGCAGCAGAAACAACTGCTCCTGCCTGGCTTTCCTCTATTGATTTTTGTTGTTGTTGTTGATGTGCAGTTTGTCAGCAGTTGTTTTTTTTTCCTTTTCGTCTGTTTTTCCCCTCGTGTTTTTTCTGGGGCTCCCACACTGTGTGTTTCATAGCTGTGTAATGGGAACATACAGTAGGACATAAATATCAGCAGTGCATAAACCTTTGGAGCTAAAACCTTGTTCTAACATGCAGCCAATAAACTCTGCTGCTGTTTTTTGGTTTGCATTAAAGGCTTGTAAATTTGGGTAGAACTTCACAAGTATGACAAATGCACATACTTAACACAAAAGCCAAAATCAGTTTCTAACTTCTAAAACAAGGGGCTACCATGCTTTTTAATATTAAAAATCTGAAAAAAAGTGTTATCTGCCCTTGCAGTGGGCTTTTCAGTGCTATTTTTTAATGGAAATGGCTGATCTTTGGCAGGCATTTTATTCCACCCATCCTGCTCCTCTCTGCCCTCCCTGCAAGACATCAGGCTTGAGCATATGCTTGTTATGAAACATTTCAACCCAATTGGTTTTAATCTGGTCAAGTTATGTATTGGTGCTTCAGATCAGTTGTACTGGTCTCTATTTCTGAAAAATACAGTGGGGATTGTATAAAATAAATGGAGATTGTAAACTGGCTGAAACACAGAGTCATCTCCCAAATGCTGCTTAATCTGTTTACTGGCAGGCTTGTGTTCTAACATCAATTTCTCTCCATCTTTTTTTTATTTCATGTAGAGCAATTACATGGTGTTCATGGCAGAATTGTTCTGGTGGTTTGAAGTGGTGAAGCCATCATTTGTACAGCCCCGTGTTGTTGTGCATCCCCAAGGTAATTATGTTATGGATTGGCCTTAATATGCATGTTTTGATATGTATGTGTACAGATTGCCATTGTGTTCACAGATGCAGTGAACATTTTAGTTAACAGGATTTGGCAGTGTACAACCCCCTTAAAGAAGGAAAAGACTTCTCTTTCTTCATTGTAAATCTTCATCTCATCTCATAAATCATAATTAGATTTTCTTTCTGTTACCAAAAACTCATTTAAATTGTTGTGGTATAATCACTTGCAAATTTTCCTGACCTAAACAAGCCTTGAATCCATTTATGCCCGTGCAAGAATTACAAACATAATAAGAAACCAAGAACAGAATTTAGCCTGAAGAGCTTGTGTTGCTGAGAAGATACCAAGAGAAAGAATCATAAATCTGGGCAAAGTGAATAGAGAGCTAATTGTAAAGTTTCATTTTGTACCAAGTGCAAAGGCACCATCTTCCATCAGCAATTCTCAAATTTAAAAATGCACCTTTCAGATAGATCTTGAGATCTGTTAATGACTACTTTCAGGTAAATAACAATTCAGGTAACTGAAATGTTTACACAGCAGTGCTGTGATTGGCTTTCCATGCACTAGGAAGAGATTTTCATTGGGTGGCTGTTATACCTTTTCTTCATTTTTATGCTTTACAGCACATACAAGTCTGACATAAATCTTTAAATAGTGCTAACTGGTTTAGGGTGGGACAAAAAACCTTTTTTCTAGTCGCTCTAAGGGTTTGGAGAGAAATTGTATCAGAAACACTTCTTCCAGAATAACTTTTACTAAAACTGTTTACTTTTAATTTTGTGGCTCTTTTTTAGTTTGTTTTTCTGTATTTGTACTTCCCTTGATTTTTTTAGTCTATTTTGTCAATCTCCATTTCTTTAATTAATGCCAGTACAGGAGCTTTGGAGGACATAAAGATGAAAGGAAGTGACAGTTTTAATCTAAATCATGGAATCAATGAAAATTCTTTAAATCTTTGAAAATCATTATTTCGGATTATTTTGGACAGCTTTTCTACTATGTAATTTAACTGAATACTAAACTATAATAACTTAAACTTTTTCTTCCTGGCAGCTGAACCTGCAAAAGATGCAGCTTCTGCTCACAGCTTGAATGCTAACAGAAGAAATTATGTGGATGGTCCATCTGGTTCTGACTTTGTAGCCAGGTAATGTCAGAGAATCACTGTTTCACAATCTCCTTCTCTCTGTTCAAAAAATCAAAATCAAACAATTTTTTTAATATTTTTTTTGCCTTTTTGTAAAGCTCAGTGATTGAGTTACCAGACACAATCTGGAATTTTGTGCAATATCTCATAGTTCAGCCCTCCCTCCCTGCTACAGGGCAGGCTGCTTTTTCATGTTTGTACACTTGGACAGTGCTGTTCTCTTAGCAGTGTCCAAAACAACCCTCAGCATTCAGCACAGAAGTGTCACATGGCCTTGTCCTCTTCAATTTCCAGTGCAGCTGCTGACCAGGTCTGCTCTGGAGAAGCTGCTTTTCTGGAATTCACAGAAAATTTTCCAAAAGTTATAAGAAAACTAAACTGAGGTAACAGCAAGGAAAACCCTGAGTGATGGGTTTAGTTTGATTTGGTTATGTTAGTATAGTACCATAAAATTCAAGTAGGTAAAAATAATACTTATGATGTGATTAACTTCCCCACCCCAACTGCCTCCTGATGAGGAGGAGAATTGGAAAGAAAGTGTAAACCTCACAAGATAAGAACAGTTTAATAATATGAAACAAAATAAAATATGACTATGATAATAATTATAATTGTAATGAAAAGGGGAGAGGGGAGTAAACCCCAGAAGAACAAGAGCAGCACAGTGCAATTGCTGCCTCCAGCAGCTCCCAGCCCCTCCCAGGCAGCTCCCCCAGCCCCTGCTGGGCACAGCAGCCATGGTTTGCCCTGGCCCTGGGGCCAGCTCAGCTCAGCTGTCCTGGCCACGCTCCCTCACAGCTCCTCCTGCACCTCCTGGCTGCCACGAGCACAGAGAAGTCCCTGGCTTAGAGACAGCACCAGTGAGCAACCACTGAAACACCAGAGTGTTAGCAACAGTGCCCTCACTCTGAACCCAAAACACAGCCCTGCACCAGCTACCAGCAAGAAAATTCTCTCTGTTCCAGATAAAACCAAGACCATGTGAAACATTATTTTTGTTATTACTGGTACAGATTAGGAAGCAATATAGAAACATCCTGTTTGTCTAATGTTCTGTAGCTGCTCATACATTAATTTCTCAAGGGAGACCTAATCACTCTCCACAACTACCTGAAAGAAGGCTGTAGACAGGTGGAGATTGGTCTCCTATCCCAAGGAAAAAGTGATAGGAGAAGAGGAAACATTTCCTCCATTTCCACTAGAAAAGGTTTAGATTTGGATATTAGCAAAACTTTTGTCACCAAAATCAGCTGTCAAGCATTGGAACAGGCTGCCTGGAGAGTGATTGAGCCTCCATCCCTGGAAGTATTTAAGATGTGTACATGTGGCACTTACAGACATGGTTTAGTGGTGGCCTTGGCAGGGTTAACAGCTGGACTTCATGACCTTAAAAGTCTTTTCCCACCTATTCATTCTATGATAAGGGACATAAATTGTACTTTAGGCCTTCTTATTAATCTTTCTTAGGTCAAGGTAAAGAAAGCCTTCCAGTGGTCTGATCTGGATCTAGTGAATGAGCATTGCAGTACATTAATAATTTTGGGGGTTTTATTTTGGTTTATTGAATGTATCTAAAGTGGCACAGAGGAGAAGGATAAAATTAGCATTGTAACTGGATATTTAGCAAATGGTTGATTTCCAACCCAGAAAATCCTGTTTAGCCTTTTCTGTTGTTTTTGGATGAGTTTTTTGGAGAGAGAGGTGAGGGTTTGTTTGGGTTTGAGATTTAAAGTTCCTAAGTATGTTTTTAGTGTTTTGGAACCTATGCTGACTTTAATAACAGAGTAATATTTCCTACTACCAATAAATGCTGGAATTCCAAGTCCTTTTCCTGTATGTGTCCAAAGCATGTTTCTCTTGTAGACAATGATTTTATTTTCATGTAGACTGAGCATATAAGCCAGGAGAACAAGTTTTGAACATATCCTTTGAAGCAGGGGTTCCCAAGGCCATTTGCTGTAACTCTCCTCATAAACCAGGGTATTTCATCCAACCTGATGACACATCACTGCAGGACAAAGGAGGGGCTCAAAAAGCATTTCAGATGGTTGGAATCCCATACACAGGCTGCAGGTTCCCTGACTGCAGGATGTTGTGTCCTGGCCTTCCTCCCTGTGCATTCCTGCCCTCTTCAGTGTTTGAGTTCCATTTCAGCACACAAAGACAGAAAAAAGGACCCCAGTTGGAAAAAGTGAATGTTCTGCTGCCTTAGCCTGTTGGAGTGACTCAGAGCATGGGCTGGAGAGGCAGAGCCAGCACAGAGGAGGGAGTGGGACTGTGGCAGTGTTACAGTGTCTCAGGTTGCCATGGAGCCCAGGCTTGGTGCCAGAATCAGTCTCTTCCCCAAGCAAAATTAAGTGTATAGATTCTCTTCATGGTAGCAAATTTTCACAGGCTGTGGGGTTAAATTTGGAAAGTATGCTTTTCTTTTAACATAACTTACAGACATTAGGATTTTATAATTTTCACAGAAATCTTGAATGCCATTTAAAACAGACATGTCATGTAGCTAGCATGTAGTGTTATTGATACAAAAAAATCAGGAATTTTGGGAATATGGGAACCTATATTGAATAATTAAATAAATACTTGTGAAAGATGCTCTTGTAGATTGTGTTTTTCTTAAATTGATGTGAATATCCTTCTTGCAAATATTATTTAGAAACATTTCTACACTATACAGTATATATAATAACACTAGACAAATATTCTGAAAAATGTGAGTTTGGGAGTGTCCTATTCAATTCAGTGGACAAAATTCAAACCATGAAAGGATTTAATCCAGCTTGTGTTTGAAGTCTGGCTTCTCTAGAAGTGTTTTACATACAAATCCATCTGTCTTTATGCATATGTCTTTGTTCTGATCATGAAAAAGCACCTTGATCAAAACATTGAATTATGTTAATCCCATCCTGGATTAACACAGCTACTCAATTACAGACCTTCTCTGTAAACCAAATAAAGTATCTGTATAAGTAGAAACAGAGGAAATCTCTATAATTACTCCTTTAGTAGTGAATGTATTTTTTTATTTATAAAGTCATGTCTATCACAAAGTCTTCTTTATCCACTTCTAGTGCGTGTTGCAGTCCAGACACAAGGCAGAAGTTTTGAACTAAGCAATTGAAAATAGAAATGTATGGAAAGTATGTGATATTGGCTGCAGTCACTCAGTTTTGAGGCCAGTAGGAGCTGCCTCATTTTGCTCATGTCTTTTTTGACTTTTTACTGAAATCAAGCCTAAAAAATGGAACTTTCTAATAGAGGCATTTACATGAAATAAATCAGGAGACAAGTACATTAACAAAACTTATGCTGCAGGTCTGTACAGCTGTCTGTGTACGAAAAATACCTTTTTGACTTTTTAGTCCACCTGCATTAGTCCCAGTCCAACGTTATTACAGTGTTCTCTTTTTAGTTGATAAATTAATATTTCCAGAAGAGAACTACACCTCACTTTCTTTCTCATCACAAAAAAAAAAAAAAAATCTTGTCTTTGTCTTGGCCAACAACAGGGTGACTGGTTGGCCTTTGTATTGTGGCTTTTGATGTATTAATTCTAAGTTAATGTCTCTTGCTTTATAGATTGGGAAGTCCAGCTTACACACCCCCTCACCAACTGCATACACCCCAGCAGCCTTATTCATCTGTTCCAGGTAACAATTCACAAAGGACGGGGAGAGGCAGTGAGACAGGTGTCATCCTCCGAGTAAATTGCTATCCTGCTTGTATTTATTCAAACATCATTTATACAGAAATAGGGGGACATCTTTACATGAAAAAATAATTCATTTACATAATTGACTTATGTAATTTATAAAATGTACAAGTGGGAAGATTCTGTTTGTACCAAATGCACTGTGTGTGGTTTTTTAATTTGACTTCTGTTTTGATTATGTGGAAGATGGCTTACAACAAGTATTTGTGGCATATTTTAGTAGGATTTGTATAATATTTTGCACATTAGTAAGTCCTTTGAGGGATGAGGGGTAAAATATATATTCAGGATGAAATTGGCTTTAGTTGTATTTTCAATATATAAACACTTTTCTGCCATTGCCGTGTTCTGAGTAGGGAAGCAGATCAATTTCTTAAAGCAACAGAAAGTGATGTTAAAATCATTTTTCACAGTAGTTACATTGGGTCCTGTTTTTGTTTCATTTAGGAGTCATCAGAAGGTCCACATCAATGTCTTATGTAGATGGGCAAGTAGGGACATGGCCCAAAGAGAAAAGGTAAGGAGTCTTACAAGCCGGTTACAAAATACTGGGGTTTGGTTATGAGTAGTAGTAAATGCTCCATTGTAGTTTGGATTTTCAGAGTCCTATAATGAAAATTCTTGTAAGCTGCTTGAAAAAGTAGAAAAAGAAACATAAAACCATATCATGGATTAAAAACTGGCTAATATGAAACAATCTTCAGAAGTAAATAATTTATTCTTTACACTAAAAGAGGTATACTTCAGATATTTGAATTGTTATTGTTAAATATGTTCATATTTACTCATCACACTGAACTAAATGTGGGTAACAGTATCATGGCTAATGATCTCAATAGCATTTAAGCTTGTATTATTTTGGGAATGCTAAGAACAATCAGGCTGAATGTTTTAGTTTTCAGTTAGACCAGTCATAAACTCTTAATCTGTGGGGTATAAAGCAAAGTTAAAATGGTAAGAGTTACAGTGGTGTGTAAACTGTGTCTTTTCACACCTTCCTTCTGATCTATGGTGGCCATTCCTATACTCCTAAAATGCCCAGAATTTATTCCAAAGTAGTAAAAAGCATTGCCTGAGTCTGAAGAAAATCTTGTTATATTCTATTCTATTGTGCTTTTAAAAGATTTATTAAACTTACATCTATTTATCCATCTAAAAAAATCTATCTAAAAATATATGCTTGTTTATTATATTTGAAGGTAGGCAAAAATGCAGTACACCTAACAGTGCCTTTAATACTTCCAGTTAAAATAATTTTAAAACCAAATACAAAGATTTTGTTATTTTTATTAATAATCATGAGTTGCTCAGTTACTTTCTTTATTCTGATCTCTATTAGGTCATCATTACATGGAGTTTCATTTGACATTCCTTTCGACAAAGAGAAAAGCATTCCAGCATCTGCTCCAAGCAGAGGAATTCCTAGATCTGTGAGCAACGAAGGCCTTACAGGAAACATCAACCGCGTGCCGAAGCATCCCAGAAAAAATCTGTCCTTCAAACCAGTAAATGGAGAAGAGGAGAATCAAGACATTGAAGAGGAAAAGGTCATGACAAAGGCCAATCAGTCTCTTAATGCAAATGAGAGAAATGCCAACGAGAGCAGACACTACAGGTTTCCAAATGGAGCTCTGCAAAACAGGGCAGTTCTGGATGATTTTGGCAATCAGATTGAGACTCCGAGCATCGAGGAGGCTTTGCAGATAATTCATGACACTGAAAAATCTCCCAGACTTCTCCAAACAGACCAAATTACAAATGGGTTCTTCCTTCACAATCGGGAAATGAGCATCTTGAATTCAAACATTAAACCCAATCAGACTACCCCAGATATAATCACAGACACTAAGGGTGCTCTGAGCCCTGTGACTGACAACACAGAAGTAGATACTGGAATACATGTCCCATCAGAAGATATCCCAGAGACAATGGATGAGGATTCTTCTCTGAGAGATTACACTGTAAGCATGGACTCTGACATGGAGGAACCATCTAAATTTCTCCAGGATTACGACATGCGGGCTAGCAATCACAGAGATCAATTAAGTCCCTGTCCCAGCTCAGTAAGTACTAAATCACAGGCAGGCAGCAGTGCTTCTTCCAGCTCAGGGGTTAAAATGACCAGCTTTGCTGAGCAGAAATTCAGGAAGCTGAATCACACAGATAGTAAAAGCAGTGGAAGCAGTTCTCAGAAAACCACACCAGAAGGTTCTGAGCTGAACATCCCTCATATGGTAGCTTGGGCTCACATTCCCGAGGAGGCATCTGTTCCTCAAGGAAGAGACACTACACAGTTACTGGCTTCTGAAATGGTACAGCTGAGGATGAAGCTAGAGGAAAAGAGGCGAGCCATTGAAGCACAGAAGAAGAAAGTTGAAGCTGCATTCACAAAGCAGCGGCAGAAAATGGGAAGAACAGCATTTCTCAATGTTGTGAAAAAGAAAGGGGACGGGGTATCACCTCTCCGAGAGGAAGCAGCGGGAGCTGAAGATGAGAAGGTATTCACTGACAGCAATCGGTTGAAAGAAAAAGAAACTCAAAAATCAGATGACCAAACTAGTAAGACTTCAGAATTAATAAAAGAAAACCCAGAAAATTCTCATAGCAAATGGTTAAAATCTCCTGCTACTTCTGGGGATGCTGAAAAGCAATGGAATTTAGCAAGCCCCTCAGAAGAAAATCTTAATGATGGAGATCTCTTAGAATATACAAAATCCATTGAAAAACTGAACTCTTCCCTACACTTTCTACAACAAGAAATGCAACGTCTGTCCCTTCAGCAGGAGATGCTGATGCAGATGAGAGAGCAACAGGCTTGGGTTATTTCTCCTCCTCAACCTTCTCCTCAGAAGCAGATTCGGGACTTTAAGTCTTCAAGGCAAGGGGGAACTCCAGCTCCTGTTGCACCTTTCTCACAGGAATCTCCTCGCTCTACACATCAATCTCCACAATCTTCCAACAAGAAGAATGCCTCTTTTCACATTAAAATGCAAAGGACTCCTAGGCCAAATGAACTGAAAATAACGCCTCTAAACCGTACCTTGACTGCCCCACGCTCTGTGGACAGCCTTCCCCGTTTGAGGAGGTTTTCCCCCAGTCAGGTTCCCATTCAGACCAGATCATTTGTTTGCTTTGGAGATGATGGTGAACATGTAAGTGAACCTCAGTTAAAGGGAAATCTTTCGAAGGAAGTCAAGCCTACAGAAGAGGCAGCAAAAGAAGAAGGACCAAAATTGCCAAAACAGGGTGAGCAGAAGTTGGAGGAAAAGGAGATTAGGCCTATTGAATCTAATGTTTCTGAAGTGTTATCTCAGCCTATCACAGAAACAGTCTGCCTCACTCCAAATGAAGATCAGCTAAACCAACCCATTTTACCACCTCCAGCTCCCAAAACAGCTAACTTAATTGAAGTTTCCCTATCAGATTTGAAGCCACCAGAAAAAAGCGAGGTATCTGTTGAGAAATATGAAGGTGAGAGTGATAGAGAACAGTTTGAAGATGACCAGAAAGTATGTTGTGGATTCTTTTTTAAGGTAAGAGAACTAGTGGATGTGTGTGTCAGCTTTAAGCTTTGTTTAAATCTTTAAGTGAAACGTGGATGTTGCTGATGATTGAAGTAAAAGCAGATAGTACTGCAACTCTAAATGTGCAGGCTTGTCTTCTCGACTTGATTAATTATGCATCATAAGAGTGGTGAGATTCTACCATATTGCAGTTCTGAGCATGTCAGAGTATCCCTTTCCTTGCATAGTTATGGAAGAGTGCTTGGAGGTCTTGGTGAGGAAGATTCATGCTGAATGTAGATTTTTTTTTAACCTGTTTTTGGTGATCTTGATTAAGCGTGCTCACATCTCACCCTCACTTCCTCACCTCACTCCCAAATTTAACTAAAAGTTTTTGAACTACATAACAGCCTGCATTTTTTTTTAATTATTCACATTTTTTAATTGCACTTTGGAGAGCCTTTTTTCCTTTCTAAGCTGGCTAAGGAAGTGTAAGTCTGCTGAGACTCCCTTTTGAAGTTTGTATTTGGGAGCACTTCTTGGAGACTTTTTATTAAAGAACTGTATTCAGACAGGCTTTTAACTATAATGCCTATTGTAAGACAGTGGTCTAGACTTATTTCCATCTTAGAATACCCCAACATTTTGTATCGTGTATCTAGATGGACCTAGCTTGTCTGGAAACATTCCTCAGTTCTAACAAAACACCTGGCTTGCTCAGAAGTTACTTTTATATGGTGCATAATTATTGGGGCTTGTGATAATTACCTTCATGTTCATACATGTAGACTCTTCCAAAGCTGAAAGAAGTTTATGCTATGTGGGATCTTACTCAAAACTAAAATATCTCACTTAGCAAGTTTTCTCATATCAGTGTTGAATTTTGTTTGACTCAGGAAAGAAAAATTCCTTTATGAAGTTTTTAAGAGTCTTAAGAAAAATCTTCATAAATAAACTCATTCCAAATACTGCAAGAGTATGTTAGGATACCCAGTGTACAGAATTAAGTGTCTAATGACTTGGCAAAACCAGTTGCTGAATTTAGAGGTATTCATATTTTTGGTCCTTTTCCTTCACAAACGGTTGCTAGGATGATCAAAAGGCAGAAAATGATATGGCAATGAAACGAGCAGCGTTGTTGGAGAAGCGTTTGAGAAGGGAAAGAGAGACTTTGCTTCGAAAGCAGCAGCTGGAAGCAGAACTAGAACATAAGAAGGAAGAGACAAGGTAAAACTACATGTCCTAATTCAAATGATCAGTAATGGTGAACATAAAAATGTCTTCTTTAGTTAAAAGTGTAACCTGCATGTCAAAGAATTGCATCTTAATATCCAAGTTATTCGCTGCTAGAGCCAGATGTGCAGAGGAGGACAGCAGGTGGCATCAGTCTGTAGCTCTCTCAGGCTGGGAGCTGTGCTGGCCTGAGCACAGCTTCTTCACAGCTCTTCCTTCTGCACAAATGCACAATGTTCACTCAGTTACAGCAATGAAGCTCATCAACCTGTGTTTGGTTTTATTAGTAGCAATATCCCCAAAAGTTTAAACTCTCTGAAAATTGCAAAAAAATTTAAAAGCAATTGTCTTTTACTGGTGCTTGAGAACATTGGAATTCCAAAAATCTGCTGCCTGTGTTGTCCTCGCTGTGCTAGCTGAAATCCCTTATTTGGAAAGCTTCTAGTGCTGAATTTTTTTGGTCATTTTTTAGACGCAAAACAGAAGAAGAACGTCAGAAGAAGGAGGATGAACGAGCACGGCGAGAATTTATTAAGCAGGAATACATGAGAAGGAAACAACTAAAGCTTATGGAAGACATGGATACTGTCATAAAGCCACGTTCCCTCTCAATCAAACAGAAAAAGCCACGTCCAAAATCTATTCACAGAGATCATATTGAATCACCTAAGACACCAATCAAAGGTCCACCAGGTAACAAATGTTTACATGGAACAAGAGTCTGTTCATGCTGAAACACCAGCTTGGGTTTTGGTCCTAACAAGCACGGGCATTTATGAGTCTTGTGCTACATTAAAATTGCACGTGTCCAAACTGGAAAGCAAAATTTGGCATAGAAATGGAAAGATGAATGTCACTTACCTGCTATGCATGCATGCATATATAAGCAAACAAAAATGTTAGCTCTGAAACCCCAATGGAGGGATGAATATGTGTTGCGAGTTTCATGCACACCCATGTTTTCTTCACTAATCTCTTCTTGCACCTGTAGAGCTAAGAATGAATAAAAGTTGGGAGATAAGGGATCAATAAATAAAATGGTGACCATAAGGTAAGAATACTTAAACTCACACAATATGGACAAAATTAAAACTTGACAGTTACTTTTAAATTTCATGGTTTTTTTCTATTTTGCTCACCAGCTGCATGTATAGTTAAGAACATAGCAACACTAATCATGTGGAATAACTTAGCATTCTTTTAGATACAACAGAACTTGCAGTAGAAGAAGTATTATCAATTTACAATTAGAAGTATTAGAAGAATACTTCTAGAAGAAGAAGTATTATCAATTTACAATTAGAAAAAAATAACCAGATTGCTCAGTGATCCCTTTTGTTACAGATTCCTCTACCCTTGTTGTTGTGCTGCGTTTTCTCTGGCTGCTTCCGTCTGTCTTTCAGTGTAATTTAAAGTATTTCCTTAAGACCTTCCAAGAATCCATCCCAAGCTTTAAATTAAGTCTCTTAAGCTCTCTTTCAAGAGGACTTATTAACTCTAATTGCATCCTTTGATTTGCATAGTGCCAATATTCCCATGTTCGTGCTTCCCATTAGTGCTTAGGCTGAGCTCATCCCCAGTGCTGCCCAAGGCTGGGTGGCAGCAGCTGTTTACAGGAAGTGCAGCACATATGCATGCAGGTATATCATGTAGAAATGCCCTTACTGACTTTCAGATGCTGGTGTTGGTCTGATGAACAGACTCTCCTACTTGCATAGGTTTATAAGCTTTAACTTTGTTTTTATCCAGGTTCACAGCTTTATCGTGTTTTTTCAGTATCTAGTCTTTCATTGGCATCGCTGAATACAGGGGACAATGAGAGTGTGCAGTCAGGCAAGAGAACACCAAGGTAAAGCTAAAATAACCATTTCATGTAATAAAATTTTGTAATCAGCTATGTAAAACTAGCATGAATTTTTTAGAGGTCATGTATATATTGTGTACTCCGAGAACAGGTATGTTTTCCTCATTTGAGACGTGGATGGTTTCCACTGTCAGACATTCGGGAACCAAGCCATCATCATTTGTTTTGCAAATTGTACCAAGTGAACCAGTTGGGCAGGTATAAATGAGGTCAAAGCAAAATGCTGTTCACACAGCCTCTTTAATTCACCTGCTTGTATCTAAGTCTCAGCCTATGGGTATTTTGCTAAACCTGTATGCTACATGCAACTACATAGCTGCTTTTCTTTTTTTAACATAGAAGCGTATTTTCTGTTTGGTTTTTTTCTTTAGCAGTTGTACGGGGCATTATTGAATGCTCACAAGGACTTCAGCCTTTTCCAAACACCAGAATTTATTTTGCATTAAAAACCACCTGAAAATAACAGAAAAAAAATTCTATTTTTTAATACAAACCCCATATTGTCATCAGAGGAAAATCACTATTTCTGTGAACTATTTGATAATATTCAGACAAATACAATTTTCTTTGTATAAAAAAAGAAAAAGTGAAGAAAAGTAAACTAGGAGAAGGAGTTGATAAGGAGTACTACATTTTCTGCTATTGCCTGTTGTGTCTTCATGGCCACTACACATTATTTATCAGCTCTGACAAACCTGCAGCTGGCTTCAGTTGACTTCTCAATTACCTTGATGTCTCCAGAACTGACTTTCCAGTTATTACATAAGAAGCTTTCATAAATGATTCAATTAGCCTAATATCTCTTGTCATCTCTTAAAAATCAGCAGTTTTAATTGAGAGGGGGATTTCTTCCAGCTATATTAGCTATTACAAAAGGCTTGATGTTGCTCATCTACACGGGCTTTGCAGGAGATAACTCCTGTGTATAGAGCTGGAGTTGTGCAGTGCTGTACTGTGATTTCAATGAGCAGCACATCTTCCTCAGGTTTTGGATTTGTTTAGGGGATTGAAACTTTTAAAACATTTTAAAAGCAACAGAGTTGAAAGAATTTTCAGTAACTTTCCAAATGCATATTGTCACCTTGTCCTCACATCACCATTGTTTTTGATGATCCCACTGAGAGATTCTCAGTGATACATTTGTCACCTTCTTCATGGAGGTGCTAATCACAGGATATATTATAAATTGAATTTTCATCTGCTGCTGATTTTACTGAAAATGAGCATGCACACAAATTTTGATGTGATACCACTTTTTTTCCTTATTCTGTGCCTTTTTCTCACTTAGCCAACTTTCATTCCAAGCTGCAAATTTGACTGGCTTTTGCAGTGGCCACAATCAAAAAATTTTAAATATCTTGTAATAATTTAAGAAAACGTGACAATCTTGTTTAAACCTTTAAATGCAAAATTATCCACATTTGAGTGCAGCCTGAAGAATTACAGCACCAGAAGCTATTGTCTGTGAAAACAAAAACTAGAAGGGATATTGTTTTGCTGTCTTAAATACAGCAGTTCTCACTGCCAGTTGTTGCAGTCATAAGTGTAAATGAACTAAATTTTTACTTCATATTCATTATTCTATCAAGAACTGGTTTGTTCACTACATGAGATAACATTGGTTTGCCAGTACATGTTAAAAGTAACACAAATTTCCACTTAGTAATTCTGTTTCACAACCAAGAACATCTATTAGGTCTCTGTCCCTCAGATGTAGCCCAAAAATTAACATATCCTCACCTAAAGACCAACTTCTTGCATCACTCAAAACACACTAAATTTGGTGCATTTAGGTTTATAGTTTATAATTCAAGTCATTGTGTTCTATCTTGCCTTCTTTTCATATCAGAAGGCTTCCCAGCTGAACATGGTGAATTTTTTAATAGATTTTAAAACTAATGTTTAGGTCTGAATCTGTGGAAGGATTTTTATCCCCAAGTCGCTGTGGGAGTCGTAATGGAGAAAAAGATTGGGAAAATGCATCTACAACTTCTTCAGTGGCCTCTGCTACAGAGTACACAGGTCAGTGGCAACAAGGGTCAGAAATGTACCTGCCATTGAACATAGTGGTTCTATGCATGAAAAGTTTTCAGTTACCTTGTTTTGGTTTCCTAAAACTTGATTGAGTTTTGCCCTTCAAAGTAGAGGATGATAATACAAAATTAACATTTTTAATCCAAAATAAAAGCACTGACTCAATAGCATTTGTGATAACCACAATAAACTGCAGTCAGGCTCAGAACAGCACATGAGCTCACACACCATTCTGTTTTTCAGAGTGTCTCTAGCATAGCACAAAGTGTTGATATTTCAACTCAATTTATTAAGAACTTTATGATCAGACTACTCATTCTTTATTAGATTATGAATCAAATATTTTCTCTAACTATTCCACACATGATACTGCCAAGACCTTGCATCATCAGCCTTATAAAAGCTCCACTTTTGCCAACCTAATATCATTTTGTTTGTGAGAAGAGTAGCATAAGGTTAGGTATTTTCTAGGGTTTTTTCCCCCAAAGCTTAGACAAACAGATTTAATCTTAAATTTAATTGATGCTTGCACATTATTTTCCTAATTGGTACTCATGTGTTGAGTTTTCTTAAATGGACTTGACCCAAGTACACAGACATTTCAGAAATTAACCAGAAGATTTTTACTTCAGCCAGATGAATCATTTTACAGACAGAATAACCTGTCAAGTGTAAAGCCAGATCTTTTAATCCCTGATTCTGGGTAAAACATTTATGGAATTCCAAAGAGAACAGGCAACAGTTACTCTAAGCACTGCATATGCCTCATTGTTATACCTCATACCCTTGAAATCATAGGTGAAGGAAAAGAAAAAGACTTTGCTCTCTCCTGGACAACTGAAATTTTGTTTAGAAAAAGCAAAAGAAAAGGTCCTCTGAGAGAGAAAAAAATTACCAAGGCTGCCAATAATAATGATTTAATAATGAAAGACACATTTGTAAGTAAATTCAGTGACAGCTGAATGACGTTTTACTTGTTCATGAAATTTGTGGTCTCTAACCTTATTCTGTATTATTCCTGGATTTGTGTTCCTATGCATGCAAAAGTTCCACACCAGAAGTGCTTCACAGCATTCAAAGTAATTCTTTGTTGGCTTATTGATTAATTTAGCTTATTTGTTGTTCCTTTTGCATAGGACCAAAGCTCTTCAAAGAACCCAGTGCTAAATCTAATAAGTATATAATTCAGAATGCACTGGCACATTGCTGCCTGGCTGGAAAAGTGAATGAAGGTCAAAAGAAAAAGATTCTGGAGGTAAGAATATTTTTCCCCTAAAAGCATAAACACCTATGTCAAACCAAAGTCAAGCATTATGGAGACTCTAAAGGATAAATGCAGACACTGAAAGGAAACCTTAGAGATGATGGCAGCAGTCAGTGAAGGGATTAACTTCTGTGACTTCCTTCCCGTGTAGGCAGAAAGGTTCTCCAGTGCTATAGAAACAAGAGCTGTTACTTTGTACATGCAGCACAGGGAGCTGAATTAATTCACATGTTTAATTAATAGTTATTGCTTGTTTTATGGAGGAACTTCAATATCTAGGCTTTCATAATTTGCTCACTAAATTGTTTTCCCTGATACATGGAGATCCTCAGGTTGGGAACTTTAGAACTAACGCACAGGGCCCTCATGAACAGAAAGAATTGAAATACATCCCTTCTTGGCTCTTCTCCAGTTTCCAAGCAGTAGGGCAAATCCAGGACTTTGTACTGTAGGAAGGTGCCTTCCAGTCTTCTCTCTTACACTGCTATAAACCTTTCTGAAAATGCAGATATTGTAAAAATCCAGGGACAGTGTGTTCCCAGGCAAAAGTAGTAACACAGAATCTGAGCCTTGAGAGTAACAGGACTGTTCCATTTACCACATATGACAAATACAACAGATTAACTGATATCAAACCTCACAGGCACTTGGAATCCAGACTGAATTTCATTTCTGGAATGAAATTCCAGAATAAACTTCATAGCAGTATTTCTTGCCCCTTCTTCTCTTCATAATCCTGCATCCATGTCTAGATGCTCCTTTCTCTGCCTTTCCAGACACTTTTTGGAAATACCAAGTCAGGAATCAGCACACACTCCTGCAGTTTAAGTAACTGGGAGCAAAATGACCCTCAGAATGACCCAGAAAAAAATAGGTGCACAAATGTCATGCTTACCTCAAGGATGAAGCATACATCACTTGATAGAAGGTTTAAGTTTCAAGGCATGTGTCCCATAGGACGTCTGTAGGTGGAATAGGAATCTGAAGATTTCAGCTAATTAAGAACTTCTGTTTAATACATTCCAACTGACTTAATGGTTTGACCAAGCTTGAATGGATGTAGGGATGACTGAAATTCCATTTTAGCACCAGAGGATCTTCCAGACACACAGAGACACGTTTCAAGTTTCCTGTTCCCAAACTTGCAAGTATTAAATCAACTTGATGAAATGGATGATGAAAAGAATTTTTATTTGGTCTAAAAAAAGACTTTTGGAATGTCTGTTCTTGAGGTACAACTAAACAAGTATAGCTGAAATTGTCTAAATAAATTAGGTTTTGGTTAACATGAATATCTACCCTATCAAAATTCAGATGGGTGACGCTTAGCAAACTCTAATGATTGAAAATAAGGTCTTTTAGTGGACAGAGTTAGGCATAAGTTTCAGCTCTGGTAGAAAACTGATTCAAAATGAAATCTAATAAATTGAAATGTTTTTTAATTACAATGCAAAATTCATATTCTGAATGTTTTTCTTTTTTTTCTTTCTTTCTTTTAAAGGAAATGGAAAAATCTGATGCCAATAATTTCTTAATCTTGTTCCGGGATTCAGGCTGCCAGTTTAGATCTCTGTACACATACTGCCCTGATACTGAAGAAATCAATAAATTAACAGGAATAGGTCCCAAGTCTATCACAAAGAAAATGATAGAGGGACTGTATAAGTACAACTCTGACAGAAAGCAATTTAGCCACATACCTGCCAAAACTTTGTCTGCCAGTGTTGATGCAATTACCATTCACAGCCATTTGTGGCAAACCAAGAGACCAGTAACTCCTAAGAAACTCTTACCCACCAAGGCATAGTAGATGGGAAAAAATTTGCTTGAGACAATTATGATAAACTTGCACTTCATCTTTACTGCCTATAGGAAATAGATTTCTAGTTGCCAACAAGACTCTTAGAACTTAAAACTGGACACCAAGTTCTATTATCATGTCCAACTGGAATGTAAACACAGTGTTTAGGAGTGCAGAAGATAACTCTTAGGTGAATAATTATGAGTGATTACGGAAATGTTTGACTTGTGTGGAGATTTGTATGTGCTAATGCAACATATAGAGTATATTTGCTCTGTATTTTGATTAGATACACTGAAGCACTGAATGTTCCTCTTTAGTGACTCAAACTATATTTTTTACATCTGTTGCCTTATATGTTTGTATTTGTGCTTGTCTTGAAATATTTTTCTTTCACTAAAGAAAAACTTCTTAATATTCTCAATACCATTGAACTTTGCATACTGACTTACAGTAAAGACTAAATGATAAATTGTATGTCACTGAATAACAGCTGAATGGGTCTGTTCTCCAAGATCCTTACTGCGTGCTGTAACAAAATCAAGATTCATTCCCCTGTGTATTTATAATTCTTTTTCAATTCAGTAGTACTGATTTGCTTATAAACTAAACAGTAAAGGAAAAACCTTTGAACTGCTTGAAGTTTTCTTCAAATGAATTATTTAACAACTCAGGGTAAAGGTGATGCAATTACTTCTGTTTCAGTCAGTTGCCATCTGAGATGTAATGACTGACCATGTGCATGTTCATAACATCAGTAACACTCAAAGTAAAAAGATTTGGTAGGTCTCTGAAATGGTTTAAGCAGTTCATTGCTTTGCACTGTTCCAGCTGGAGAGAGAGGACACGGTCAGGTCCTGCTCCTTCAAGGAAGGAACAGGAACTCATGAAACATTCAGAACTAAATCCCTGATGTTGCCTAACAGAGCACTAAATATTCAGAAGAATCACAGAATTCACTAAGTCACAGATCTTTGAGAAGTCCTGTATCTAATTCCCATTGATTTTAAGATTCAGGCCACTTCCTGCCTTCAATCTGCCAACTCAGACTTGAATCAGTTTTCTAGGGAACAGACATCTGATAATTTTCAGTGTGTCTTTGTAAATTGTTTTCTTGACAGTAACAGGTGATGTCTTGTGACACAGCAATTTTTAAGTACGTATGGCAAAAAAGCCTAACTGACATTTCAGTAAATCTGTTACATGACCATTTGCAAAACCAAACTCTAGGCATATTTCAGTATTATTTATAAAGGGCTGCATTTTATTTCAAAACAGTGTTTGATTATTTTATAAATCACTACCCTGTTTCAGCATTTGTTTCTCTTATAATTTGCTTTTAACATGTTCTGAAAAAAAAAGAAGACACAAACTTGAAGCCTCCCCTAAATCTGTGGCTATTTTGATAACATCATACACCGGAGAATTTGTTGGGGGGGAGGGAAATCTCATTCTCAGGAAAAGACTTGAATGATTTGTGATTCTGTTCTGTTTCAGTGTTGTGACAACTCCATTCACATAAGACAGTATTGTGCTATGAGTATGTAGTCCATTCAGTTTCATGGGAGACTAAAATGATGTTCGTATTTCTCTCATTAAACTGCTTTGAGAGAAACTGCCTCACTACTACGATGTGCTCATTTACTTAGAGAAAAGATGCACAGGAATGAGATGTCATTAAGCAGTTTAGAACAGTACTTTTTTAAATTATTATAAGGCCTTAGGCATCAGTGCATCTGGATTATAAACATTTTCTCAAAAATGCTGTCAGTTTACTGTAATTTATGTTCTTATATTTATGTATATTTGTTAAAACTGTAAAAAAAAAAAAGAAAAAACACTTTAAAATACATGTTTAATATGTATGTGGCTCAAAACTATTTGTGGTTAGCTGATTCCTACTGTTTGCATGTATATCACCAGGATATGTAACTCTTATAATTCAAGTGTATACATATTGTGTATATAGGATATAAATAATATTAAAAAGGGGGGGAAAGAGGGTTTGCACATTCTGCCTGTTAGACACTTCCTACAGATACCATTGTAGGAACATCTTGAATAACAATATGAAACTGTGTATAATATACAGTGATTCAAGAAACCAGGAGGTTGGAATTAACTGACACACATATGGTGAATAACTTCAAAAGAAGTTTTATCATGGGAGGCTTTTTATTTCTAAAATCTGTTCTATGATTTAACTGAAGATTTGCAACACCATAAAGACACACGCATCAACCTAATCAAAGTGAGCTTAAATACGTGACAGGAATTCTTTGAGTAATTTAAAATATATCTGAATGTATTATGAAATTTGCATTTGTCAACAGGTCAAAGATTTGTGCAATGTCTAAAAGTAGAATGTGAATAATGCAGTTGAAAATTTCATTGCTCGCAGTATAAGGTTTTACTTAATACAGGAAAAGTAAAGCTAGAGATGCTTTTCCTTTTTAAGCCTGCAAATTTTCTAATTACAGTGGATCTTTGGTTGGGATCATGTTTAAAAAAAAAAGGAAAAAAAAAAAAAAAAAAAGAAAGCTTTCCATAAAGGCCAGTATTTATCACTGACCTTTCCAGAACACACTGGTGCTTTCATCAGGGGTATTATTATTATCGCTACGACTGAATTGCCAAACTCTCGTCTTAGTTTTTGGAGCAGAATTTCATCTTCTAACAGTCATAATAGCTACTGAATTTTATTTTTTTTTTTTAATGTTAGTATGACTGTTAGTTTTTATTATTTGGCTGTTTAAAGCCAAATTCAGCTATTTAATTCTGATTTATTGGGCACTGTTGAAAATTGTACAGTGTATTGTGTGCTTACTTGTCCACTTCTATGGAGCATAGCTTCCATATTTTTTCAAATGCTGTGCTGTAAAATATTGTCATTGCTACTTATGTGGTACAGTGTAGTTTTTTTCCTTTCATTTAAATAAAAGCATGGCACCAAAATAACATTTTTTTTGTTTTCTTGCTTACCTCTAAATAGAAACTAAAATTATTAAATGTTGATATTAAAGTTTAAACCTTGTTTCTTCTCATATTTCAGCAATGTGGAAATTGTTAGAAATATTATGCATCATTACAATTTCTTCTTTTGTTTACCGTCTTTGGTCATACTTCCATAGATAATCTAGATTTCTGATGTTATCAGAGAAAGCCTATTGAATAACTGAATAGGTTTCATATTTCATTTGTGAGGACAACAAGGTGTTACCCTGTTCTCTTCAGAAGTGAATTTCATAATTTTATGTCATTTATAAACTTTGGGGCTCTGGTTAGCTTCCATTTTTCCAAAGCCACACAAACCTACTGGTCAGGTTAAAAGGTTTGCTTCAGACTGAAAGGTTGTCAAGGTGAAGTCTTACCTTTGTCAAGGTACTGTATAAAGCATGTGTGTGACTTCTAGTGCAACAGTTTGTGCTTGCTAGTGAGGCTATCTTGAACAGAACACTATCAAAAAATGAGGGGCTTTTTCCACATTTGTTAACTAGTAATTTTTCCAGTCCAAATCATGCCTTGTTTGGAGCTTTGTGTTGTTCTGCTGGGTTGCAGAGTAAGAGCAAGGACTTGCTGAAAGTGGCCATGACATCCCTGCACTGTCACCAGGCAGACTGAGCTGCTGGGCTAACTTACACAGATAAAGAATCTCAGAATTGCAGAGCTGGGTGAAGGGCAACTTCAAGAATACCAGCAATCTGACAGTAGTGCTTTTAATGCTGAATTGAAAGCTACTGTGGAAGAAAATTAATAGCTTTCCCTCCTCCCCCTGAAAACTGGTCCTTTTTGAGGCAGCTCAGTGAGTTCCCTGTACAGCATCACAACAAGGCTGACACAAGCAAGGAATTATATTGGGACACAAACACACAGTTGCACCCAGTAAAGCTATTTTTTCAGTGGTGAGCCCAGCTCAAAATTTTCATCTAAAACCATCCTTTGTACAGATCTGCTTTAAAACAGACTTTTTTTTTCCTATCTTTTGGCAAATAACACTGTCCCTGAGAAAGTTCAGCTCATGCCCTGGTTAATTTGACATAATATGACTGTGCTGTGTGCCTGAATTTGTACAGAATTTCTGATTCAAAATTTGTGCTGCTGTGGGATCCAGTGTAGAAAATTATGCTTGGAACAGAAGGTTTTGGATCAATTGCAATGGAAATGTGATGCAAAAGATAGCTTTGTTTTTCAAATCCAACTGTACTGATCAGATCAATGTCAGATGTCTTTTTTCTAATTTATTAAAAAAGACTAAACTTTAAATATTTAGATCTCTTCAAATAGCAAATTAGCATTTCTTTGCTGCCTTGCTACTAATTTAATGTGCTGAATAAGCAGCTTGGAGAATTGTGGCTATAAAGATATATCTTGACAGTCACAGCCCTTTACAGCTGCTTTTACATTTTTTGGTCAAATAAATGAAAAAACAACAAAAGGAAAAGGTTCCCTATAAACTCTTATCCCAGGTGTAGATGACAGGGGAAAATATATATTTTTAACTTGTACATTTATAAGAAATTTATTTTTTAAAGCAATCTGTTCCATTAGGTAAAAATATATTTGATGTATGTTTGTATATGCATACATACAAATGTGTATTTACCCTCAGATTTACTTGCTTACATACAGAAAAAAGAATGCATGTTTTATTTAGACAACTGCAGCAATGAGTCAAACATGGTAGGGAAGTTGCTCCAGCTTATTTCCTTCTACCCAGAAATAAAAGCAGCTCCTACACTCAAAATCACTGCTGTAAGAGGTAAGGAAATAATCTACAACATGCACATTTCAGTACAAAGTCTTTAGGAGAGGGAGTCCTTTAATCAAATTTCTGAATTCAAGGATAACGCTGATGGATGCTAGACAGAACTGCTACTGATCAGAAGAGCTATTCACCATCAGGATTCAAGAAAGGGCAGAAAACAGCACAAATAAGGTAAGCATTCACTGAAAAAAAAAGTTACTTAAAACTTTCTTCAGACTCCTGTTCAACATTACAAACAACTTGATGTGTAAAATGCCTAGGGGTAAATAAGCATTTCAGTAGCCACTGACAAATTTGTTTAAGCAAGATACTGAAAGGTTTTTTTTCATATGTGTTTAAGTTTGCAGTTAATGGCATGTGAACTTCATGGAGATGTACTAAGTAATATCTGTATGTACTTTTATGTCACAGTTAATGGAGCTTTGCAGAAAGACTAAAAGCTAATATAGAGCTTTCCATCACAGCAGCTCTGTCTTATTATTTCTTCATCATCACTGATCTAAATGTCTGCAGTACAAGACCTGGCAAGGCCCCACAAGCCTGCAATTATTTAAATTACTTGAAGCCAGATTATACTTTGGCTCAGTATTTTTCTTGTTTAAGCTACCTGAAACTGGAGCTATGGTGCTGACATAAAGAATTCTATAGATTATGCAAGAATTCTGCTGAATTGTCACCTCAAAGTTGTGGAATTCCTTTCTTGAAATGAGTAAAAACTGTTTCAGAATAGAGTTTTGAACATATTTTTTTTTCTGTTTTTACAAAAACATGTAAATATAAAACGTAAGGAGTTGAATGGTTCTGTTACAAGTACAGAAAATCGAGATTGGCCCATTTTCAGGGCCAACACACAGAATCACAGAATCAGCTGAACTGGAGGGGACTCACAAGGATCACTGAGTCCAGCTCCTGGCCCTGCACAGGACTGTCCCCAAGGATCACAGCTGTGCCTGAGGGCATTGTCCGAACATTGCTGGGCTCTGTCAGGCTGCTGCTGTGAGCACTGCCCTGCCCAGCCACCCTCTGGGTTAAAAACCTTTTCCTGATACATAACCCAAACCTCCCTGATGCAAATTCAGGCCATTCCCTCGGGTCCTGCCACTGTCACCCCGGAGCAGATGTCAGTGCCTGCCCCTCCTGTTCCCTCACAGGGAAGCTGTGACTGCAGTGAGGTCTCCCCTCAGCCTTCTCTCCTCCAGGCCGAACAGCCCAAGTGCCCTCAGCCACCCCTCATGGCTTCCCCTCAGGGCCCTTCCCCACCCTCGGGGCCTCCTTTGGGCGCTGTCTG